TTATTATTATTATTATTATTATTATTATTATTATTATTATTATTATTATTATTATTATTATTATTATTATTATTATTATTATTATTATTATTATTATTATTATTATTATTATTATTATTATTATTATTATTATTATTGTTTCTATTCTTATTGTTATTGTTAGTAGTATTATTATTAGTTCAACAATATTTTCATTAGCTGAAATCATCGCTATGGATACTACATAGGAAAGCTTTTGCAAAGGATCCAAAAAGCTGAAAAGTTAAGATCGAAAATTGAAAGCTTCTAAGAAGTTTAATATTTATTTGAGCATTATAGATAAAATAACTCATCCGTTTAATATAGCATAATTGCTGATGAGAACACATTTGAAAAATCGCAACAAAAATCACAATTCTCTCTGCTAAACCAAATATAGAACATTTTGTGGAAGAGTTGCTAATAAATTGATCAAAAATCTAAATAACAAATGATTTGAATCAGCTAATTTGATAAAAGGGTTACAACAGTGTTAGCGATTTATTTGATAAATAGCTAACATAAAATAGGCAAGAAGGCAATTAACGAACAAGCATGAAAGTAGTTAGTAAAAAGTAAATAGGATCAAGCAATAAATCTAAGGAAGGATGGCTTTTATTCGTTCTATTAATTTGCAAATCATGATTTGTAAATGTTAGTAGCTACATTGGCGCTTTTTAAAATAGCCGTGAACAATTAAATAGCATGGAATATGAAAAGAAAAGCAAGAAAGAACCATAATAAACACTTCTCTTTAAACTTAGTATGCATCCATCCATTCCCATAGGCAATATACATTTATTTCACATCTTTTCCTTTTTTTTTTACCAGAAAAATATGAAATGTAAGAAAAAATAAGAAACTATGTTAGTAAAATTTCGTAAAAAAAAATTCTTCCATATTAGCATAGTGTTACTTATTGAAAAGAAAAAAAAGAAGTAAATTGTGAAAAATTCATCTTCCTTTCTCGGAACATTTCAGCTGGTCAAAAACAAACTTTGGTTCATGTTTTCAAGCCAAAAATCTGCAATGCTTTCCATTTGCTATGCCATTAAGCTGATCGCTGAAGTGAAAATCCTTTAGCAATCCAAGTATAGGAAAAATTCCCTTAAATGATTAATTTCTCGGCTGCTTCTCTATTTACTTCCATTCGACTGCTTTTTGTCATAGATCAATAAGATAAAGATATAAACCAAGAATGAAAAAATAAAAATATTGTGATCAGAAAGTTGTTTAGTAAAGTCGGCAAAGTCTAAACCGATCTTTCTACTTAAAGAAATGAATGATAATTAATTTTGTCGATGACAGCAAGTTGCAATTCTTCCGAGCATTTTAAGGAATGTGTTAACATATAGAAAATACACCGCAAGTTTTAGACATTAGATATAGTACACACTTTTGTCCATAACGTCCATAAGTCTTCTTTAAAATAGCTGCGTTTAAAACATTAATCTTTTTTTGACACTTGTAAAATGACAGGGAAATTTCATTATATTAATTACTTGATTCATTTGTTTACTTGTTTTCATCTTGGAATCCTAATTGACCTCATTTTCTCACTGTGTGATCTTAGAGCATTTTAATTGCATAGGAATATTAAATGGATGAAAAGTAATATTCAGAATCATAAAAATCTTACTTCAATATTGTTAACTAATTAAAGTCGATGCTTTAATGCATAACAAACATGAAGAATGAGTTATTAATTGTTGGAGCACATAATTCTTTTTCTAATGTAACAGTAAAAGCGTATGAGATCAAAGTAATGGTCGTCTTATTAATATTTAGAGGAATTCATGAGGAATAAATAACGAAATTTGGTAAAATGAACAGGATTAGTTTCAGACATTTATTCTAAATTATCTCATTTCTAGCAATTTCGACAAATGGAACATGACAATGGAAAATACACAATGGCAGTAATTTATTTTCTTCCTTTTCCGTTGAATAGTATCTTCAAATCATCATGACTGGACACTAATTGTTTCATTAAAGAATGGAAAATTCTAACAAATAATAGTTAAATATGCATCGTACACAATGATTGGATTATTCAAAATCGTTCAAAGATTTCATATATTTATGGAAAATATCAGTGTTTGTCGAAATGCTGCATGGATTAAACAAAAAGAAGCCAAAAATCATTGCCGGCTAGCAGAAAAAAGTGTTGCTTGAAAAAAAAAACCCCCCCTATACGTAGTATTTTGTAGCTTTTCTTGAAAAGATTTTCATAAAATTTAAACTTTAATTTCAATTTTTATCTTTGTAAGAGAGGAAAAAATATACTTAATTCTAGAAAAAGGCTCAAGAGCTTCATATTTTTTAAACAGATCCGAACTTGGCTTTTATCCCGTCGTACTATTACGATATTTGGATATCTGCAGATATATATCTACAAGTTCAATGTCAAGTTCAACGTTTAACATAGTTAAACTTCACGAATCACTAGTGAACACGCACCTTCAGCGTGTTAGAAGTGAATCGTATGATGCACGCATGAGAATATGACGGACGTCTAAATACTATGATAAAAAGGCTTGTTAAGGTTTGTAAGGACAGCTGAAATGTTTTACTATTTTATCAAGTGGTTCCGAAAATCTTAACACTCTTGAAGTATCTGAAGTTCAGCTTAATTTAAAACGAAAATGGTCCAATTAATTTTAGCATTAGTTTATGTCATAAGTATTGGGAGTATATCAGAAGGAAACACTAAATCAAACAATTTGACATTTATTTTTGTTTGTTCGTTTAAATCCGTTAAAATGAGATAAAATTTTGGTAGGACTCGCATTGAAGTTTTTATGAAAATTCTGTAAAAACCAATTGCTTCGGATTACCATTTCCTCGTATTGCTATTTTAATGTACTGATTTTTTTTAATTTCAAGTTCTCATTTTTGTTTCTCTTTAATTCGTATAAATGTTCTTCTTGTTTTCCACGACGAAAAGTTCTATCTGCTTCAGTTTTAAAGTTGAAATGAATCAGCTAATATATCCCATGAAAGAAAGGGAAAACATAGCCATAAATGAGTTTTCTCTTCTTTCTTTCTTTTTCTTTTCGATTTTTATATATAAAACTGTAAGAATTAATTGGATTCTATTCTGTATCAATAACTCTATTGACCTTTTTAATTTTGTTCACTCAGCTGAACTGATATTTACATCGTTAAAAGGTAGGCATTTTGAATAGTTGAAAGTTTACACTTTATTGATGAAATTGGTCATAATTACAATTTTCAAATGGATTATCGAAGCTTTTTTCTGTGAGAATTTAAGCATAAAAAAAGAGTGGGAGAAATAAAACTACAATGTATAGCTTAGGCTTAGAGTGTTAAAAACAGCTCAAATTTGGGTTAAGTACAACGATTTTGGCTATACAATACTAATAATAATTAAGGGAAACATTATTTGCTTAATTTTAGGACCTGAATAAAAAAGTGTTATCAGTCATTTGAAAAGCTTAATGAGCAGGTAATCAAAAAAGCGTTTCGTTTTGCAAGTTCTAATTAGTTAATAATTTGTTAGGAATAAATTCCGAAGTGACACCAACAAAATTGACGCTTTTGAACTGTTTAAATCTGATTGTGACACATTTTGACTGGTAGAAGCAATGAGAATAAAATGTAAAATTCATTAAAGAAAAGATGAAGACTTGTCAGACTTGTCAATCATTTCTGTCAGGTAAAAAACTGGCAGAACAGCATACTAATACTTAATATAAATGAGCTTTGTTCTTAACTTTTCGATTGAAATCTCGCATTTCATAATTTCCTTGAGAGCTGCGAGTGCGACCGTGTTTTCATTCCTTAGGTTTTATTGCGCATGAGTCCCTGATTTTGAAGGCTTTTTGTTGCCAATCTTATTGAGTTGTTTTGAAAGTTTGTGTTTCACATGGCACCTATTTTGTGGTTGAATGGTTATTGCGTACGCTCTTTCATCTCTGTCTCTAGCAGTTGCGTATATTTTTCATGTGATTCTTTCTTCGTCGAGCCCTTCAAGATTTTTTAGCTGACACTTCGGGAAACGTTGCATGAACCGTTGATTAACTTCAGGAAACTCTGTATGAACTGCTGACTAATATCTTTTGACAATATGAATAATTACTGTGGAACAGATAGTAGAGATGATAGGATATTCTGTGATTTATCTGCTGATAATGAAGATGTTGCACCGATGGAAGTGGAATCATTATGTGTTAATTGTCACCGGAATGTTAGTAATTATACTTAGAACTTACCATTCAAATTATGTGAATTTGCTATTTGTCTATCAGTTCCTTGCGATGAATCTATTTATTAATCCATAGTTCCAAGAAGGCATTCTTTTATCTACCATTCCAAATAAATAAACCTTTTCTTTTACCTTTAAATTCGGATAATAAACTAGTTCTCTCGTTTTTTTTCACTTCGTGTCTTGGATTTAGAAATCTCAAAGTAAATAGCAGAAATCATTTATAGTCTTTATAGATTATCTGTTGCTTAAAGTATAGAAAGTTTTATTGCTTGTAATTTATGCATAGCAATGATTATTTATTTACAGGGCGTCACCCGAATACTTTGTACTAGGATCCCTTTTTATCGACAAATTATTGTGATGTCATTTAGTTGTGGGCATTGTGGCTATAGCAACAATGAGTTGCAAAGTGGTGAAGCAGCACAAGTAAGTTCTGTTTCTTCCTGAAAGCTCCTAGTCAGGTGAAGCAACACATGGATAGTAGCTTTGAATTCCACATTTTTTTGTAGTATTATCGAAGTTACCAATATACACTGTTCTGGATCAGCTGATAGTTCAAAGCTGTCACGAAAAGCATGCAGGGGTTACACTGTGTTGAATGACGTGCCGGCTGACTTTGACTATTTATATAGAATAATTTTGTAACAGTTTGTCACAGTTCTTTCGTATGCAGTAAAGTATATTCAGTGTTATAGGAGCACGGAATCGAAATTGTTTTACATGTGGAAAATTTATTGGATTGGAACCGGCAAGTCATCAAATCAGAATATGCCGAAGTTGAAATTAAAGAATTGGAATTAACCATCCCTCCGAAGTCACAATCTGGTGGTTTGTTTTTCTCGTGAGTATTCTTGATAAGTTTATATTTACCTGGTCCATATCATCTGTCTCAGTTACAGAGCATAATTGTCGGTGCCAGTCAAAACTAAACTAAATGTTACATATGGTTTTAAATGTTACACTAAATGTTACACATGGTTTTGTTCCAGAAATAACGACTGTGGAGGGAATTCTACGGCGCGTGATTACCGGTCTCAGTCAAGATCAAAATCGGCGGCGTCAATGTGATCCTGAAAGTGCTGGGAAAATTGATGAATTTATAAAACGAGCGCAACGACTAGTTGATTTGCAGGAAAAATTTACACTGGTTTGTTCATTTTTCACTTCTGCTCGTCACTTTCTCTAATTAACTCTATTTTGCACCAGAGAGAAAAGATAGTTAGGTCAAAAGAATGAGCTGATAAAACGAAAAATGATTTAGAAAAAAAAACATATTCCGTCACCATAATACTATCTTTTTTTTTATTTTTTCTGAATTAAATAAGAGTTACTAATTGCAACTTTGTTTCAGAAGATAAAAGATGTGTCCGGTAATAGTTTTATTCAAAATCCTGTTCCATTCCATGTGGATCCTCATTGCGTCGTAACGCATTTTAACCGAAGTTTTGCTGATAAAAAACTTCTGGGGTTTGTGGCTGACGATGCAGACGAAGTAATTTACTTCTTTAGTATTTTTATTTCCCATTTTTTTTTGAAGTCATTCCCTTGTCCTTCTTAAAATAGGTGATCCAATATTTTCGTCCAGGAAGACTCTACTCCATTCCAATCATATGATGATGCAAAAAATGAGGTGTTGAGGTTTGCCACTGATTGTCCCAATTGTGGAGCTCCGACGGAGACATGTATGAAGCCCACAGGTATGCTTCCAAAGCAATGTAGATTTATAGGTTTCATTTTTTCTTACTTTCTGTAGTTGTATATATCACTTAGTAATGCATCATGATCATTATAGTGATTTATAGATATCCCTTATTTTACAACTGTTATTCTGATGTGTACGACTTGTGATACTTGTGGATGGAAATCAAATGAAATTAAGAGTGGTGGAGCCATACGGGATCATGGCTGCAGGTTAACTGTTTCGATAGAAGAAGTTGGTTTTGACTCGCATTTCTTTTTTTTAAATGTTGAAACAGTGCAGCTGAAAATCTTTAACATCGTCTTCGTCTCATCTCAACAGCTGATAAATATTATAAGAAAACTCACTGATATGATGCAGTGGCAAGAAATGTGAATGTCAAGTGAATCTGTATTCTGAATATTATTCCTAAAATAGTTCCATTACAGGAGATTGATCTTGCGCGGGATGTTTTGAAATCAGACACATGTAGCATGTTTATTCCCGAGCTTGATTTAGAAGTAGGTTCTGGTGCCTTATCAGGAAGATTTACAACTGTCGAGGGCTTGCTTATAGCTACCAGGGATCAACTCAAGGTTCGTAGGTTTAATTAGCTATGCTTTTAAAGACACATCCTTCCCTGTGTTTTGTTGTAGTAAAATTATATGCTTATTGATTTACTTCACTGCATTTATTTTATTCATTTCATTTTCAGGAACAAAGAGATTTTTTCTTAGTGGGAGATAGTAGAAGCGAAACAGAAAATGATCGGATGAAAAGTTTTCTGGATAATTTTGAGCAAATATTACGGTTGCGCAAGAAAGTTCGTTTAGTTTTAGACGATCCAACGGGTAATAGCTACATTCAGGTGAGGTTTGGAAATAATAATTACGTTTAGGTAAAACATGTGTTGATATTTTCTTTTCGTGTAATTAAATGGCGTATTCTTGCAAATATTTTAACGTAATTAGGAATCATAGTACGAATGCCTACGCTTTTGATGCATTGTTTTCCACTCACGTCTTATCTACTGAGCAAGCTGCGAATTAAAATTGAATTCTGGCTGAATACTTATTCGGAATACTTAAACGGTTGAAAATGTTAAACCATAACATTTCCATAACTTAGTTTGAAATTCTAGAGTCTAAATGTCCCAATGGATGATAACCGCTTAAAAAAGGAATTCTACGAGCGTACCAATGAACAGAATGATGAACTTGGATTAAACGATATGAAAACAGAAAACTATTCTCAGTTAGAAACTATTAATGAATGTGAATGATTTGAGTTTAAACGGTAATGTCAATTCGAACACATCTGTATCTTTACAATACTTATACATAGTATGTAATTATGTGGAGGGATACAGCACAGTGAAATTTAAAAATAAAAAAAGAACCGATGTTAGAGACGGATTCGATAGATGTACGCTTGACTTCCAATGTGATCTTTTATTCATACGATGATGTAAGTTACCGTAAATATAGGAGGTTAGCTTTAGATGAATTAAGATATGTCCCATAAAAATAATGGTATAAGTTTATTAGCAATCTTGTATTTCTTGAATTGTGTGGTGTTTTTCGCAGTTGTTTCATACCTCATTGCTCTTTAATTCGTTAAAATGGGTTAATGGGAGTTTTAATTCAGCGCTGTATGTTGTCTTAATTCGTTATGATCACACTGTTTGCTCTTTTTCTTGAAGCAAAAATGAAAGCAAAAGGTGAAGACAGAGATTTCTGTACAGAAATTATTGAAGAGAAGGCTTAAAAGAAAAAATGCACGAAGCGATTTATTTTGTGTCGATATGATATTGTTTTGCTGGTTCAAAAGTGGGGCAAAAAGTTTTGAAATAGGGCAAAATTTTAGTTTCTTACAATTTTATTTGCTTTTTCTTCTTTCCCGTATCGAAAAAGTGAAGACGAGCTCTTTTTCTCTGTTTATCCATAAAATTTCTCGTATTAAAAGATGGGAGCAAATTGAATGGAAGGAATAAGAATATATATAGACAAAAAGGAGCAGGATGAAAAGAAAAATATTTCCTCAGTGGCAGTATTCATTTAGAGTTATTCACTACCTCTTGTGGTTTACTTTTCTAACGAGCAAGTGTTTACTTACTTTCGGTGAAGTCTCCAACTTCTCCATCCCCAATATCCAATAGTGGTAGTGAACATCCTAATTTGCAGATTCATGCAACACTTCGCAGTGCAAGGCCATTTTAACAGTGTCTGAGTTTGGTGTACATCTTTCGATGTTTTTTGAATTTCTAATGTTTGAATTTAAAATCAGTGGAATGGTTCTCTCTATTTTGAGCCATTGCTCTACTCCCTGATACCCGCTTCAAGGCTCATTTTTATGTAAAATTATCCAATAAAAACGAATTGAATCAGTTAATTGAAAAAAAAAAGAGATGTGAAGAAAGATTATGGAACGATTTTACATAACTGATAAATTACTGTAAAATTGAGAGGCATCTTCTTATTCAAGTAATTAACTGGTTATTTATCAAATGATTAGGTGAATGTCATTGCTTGATTCGTCCATGCATTTTGATTTAATTAGATGTGATGCTAACAGGCAATTCGAGTTTTACTTTTTTTCATGGAAAATCTTGTGAAAATTACTGATACTGTTGTTTTGCACTTATGTGAGCTAAACAATCTCAGGTATTCTCCTCCTTAATACTTGTTGTCTCAGCACAACTAACATTAATCAAAACATATCTTTATATCGAATTATAAAGTAATATAGTACACTCGAACTGTGGTTGAAGTGTAATATATCAAAGTATATATGCAAACTAAAATGAATGTATAATATAAATTACAATAATGATATTTAACCAATGATTCATCATTGTTACATCAATTTACTAACCGTATTATTTTCGATAATATTGTAACTAGCATTCCCTGAACTGCAATACAAATTTAGCCATCGATTTGGTTGATAGTTGAAATTGAATGATATGTTTGGTTTAGCAAACGAATGCATCCTGTAATCTATTATTGATCAATTTCATTCTCCCTTAATATGCGTATTTTCTAAGTCGAAAGCATTATCTGTGGCTATGCATGAATCTATTACACTCATTTGTTGTTATTTACGTGCATGGATGCATGCATAGTTGATACCTCGACTCGTCCTAGAATCACAATCTTCAAACGAATTCATCCGTCTTATACTTCTCCGTTTCCTTTCCTCATTTGTTAACCGATTGCTATCTCCAATTCATTTTGTCACCAACACACCATATCATTATTGTGTCATCATTTTCAGTTGATGTCGTCAGCTCTCTTTGAACTCTCAATCGATACATTCATTCATTTAAATGTTAAATAAATTAACTAATAGTTTGTTGTATAGTGCTGTTTTCCTTTTCTTGAAAAAGATTATTTTCAAAAATGATTTACATTGATGGGTTTCATTTTTTGGTACCATTTCTGCTTTATTTTATAAAGTTTATATAAAATTGGAGGAAGAGTCGTTACTAGTAGGATGGAAATTGATTTTCAGTGACTTTAAAAAGGTAGAGGTAGAAGGATGGGGAATGCCTGTCTTTAATTACTTTGGCCCTGAAAGCAATCCTGCTCACTACCGATTTCACTGAATCTTCTCCGCTCTTTTCACCATCCTCACATCTTCATGTTAACATGAATGGAGGTTTATGTCTAACAGAAACAGGATATTATCATAGAAGCGTATTTGGACACTTCAGGAATTACATGTAACCGTTATTTTAAAAGAATCCCTTTGAACGATGAGAATGAATATTAGGAGATAAGGAGCTATGAATATTTCCCAACTCTAATTATCCATTATTTGTCTTTTTGCTCCGTAATATAAGCCTTTTTTGGAAATGAAAGAATTCGATGTTCGATGCTATATATATATATATATATATATATATATATATTATATATATATATATA